TTTGTTGTTGTGTGTGTGTGTGTGTGTGTGTGTGTGTGTGTGTGTGTGTGTGTAATATTTTATCTTTCGTAAAATTAATTATACACAGTTTTAGCTTAATTCTTCTGTAATATGAGTATTCAGATTGATTTCATTTTTTCATGACGCAAAATTACACTTGTTAATTATTTCTATCTCACATAAATGTAGAATCTGCGGAAAGAGTATCGGCAAAAAGAGTCAGGATCGTCCTGTTGCCCGAAGCGCGAGGACGAGCGAAAGATCGCTGTGCGAAATCTTTCGTTGGCAGTGGAACCGGGTGAAGTTCTGGGCTTACTAGGCCATAACGGCGCCGGTAAGACAACGACGATGAAGATTATTATCGCCGAAGAAGCGCCGACGAAAGGCAGGGTACAGATTAGCGGCCATAATATCAATACTCATATGACGGAAGCTTTCCGACAGATGGGTTATTGCCCTCAGCACGATGCTCAATGGAAGAATATTACCGTGCGAGAGCATCTGGAATGCTACGCCGCGATTCGCGGAGTTCCATGGAGTGAAGTTGACAGGTGCGATCCTCCGATATCTTATGAAGTAATTAATTAATTCTTTGAAGATACAAATTGCTATCGCTCAACATCTTCAAAGAATTGCCATCTAAAAATATTAACCGAATATATTTATATCCAAATAATTAATTTATGTAAATATTAATAATAGTATAATAATATTAATAATAGTAGTGCTGTACTATTTTTGTAACAGAATATTTTTTTAATTTGTAATAATTCAAAAGCAATTGAAATTAGTACAGTAGTGCTACTATTATTAATTTTAAGATATAAATATATTTAGTTTTTTTATATGGCAATTCTCTAATTTTTCGACATAAGCCAATACTATTTTTTTTTTACACTATTACTACTATTATTATTACTTACTTTTTTTTTAACAAATTTTAATAAAATATCATTCAATTTTAATTACTATACATATTTCTTATATATATATATATATATATATATATATAA